ATTTCCATTTCCCCTTAAGGGGGACACTGTACTTGAGACGAAATGCCAGATATTTTCATGTGTTTATAAAGGAAATTCACAGTGTGATTGAGTTTTTGATGCTGATTTGAAAAATGTAGTTACTGTTCCTCTAAACTAATTAGTTTTTGAGATATCCTAAAATTAATTGCCTATTTTTTGCCAGTATAATGACACAAGAAAGTTGTATACTAATGAACATAAGCTACACAATGGTAAGAGTGCTTTTTTTTGTTTGACAATTTTAGCAAGGTTTGTCGCACCTTGCATTTCAGACACACCCACTTTATGCTCCAATTTCTGGCAAAAATTGAATTTTTTGATGGTCTCAATCAAAACTTCACACCTACCATTGTGTAAACTAAAAATGCAGCTACATGTCACAACAGAAATGACAGTCCTAGCTGCTTTGAAGGCAGAGATATCTTTTAGACAAGTTTGCAACTGCAGCAAAATTTGAATCCTGAGAAATCATGCATAAACACACGAAGTCCATTTTGGGTAGACAGTAGCATGGAAAAGCTGTTTATTTACAATGATTTGCTGATTCAGCTTTTTTCAGTAGGCACCAAACATGTAGTCCTTCTGCTTTGCGTCACCGAAATGACGTTTTTTCAATGTCCGCTGCATGTTTTACGCAGAGGCACACTTGCGAGCTGATGGGGTCGCCGTGTGCTCGTCTGCCGACTAGGCCGCTTATCAGTTCGGTGACACCTATGTGCGACGAATGTGCGCGCGTAATCCGCGATCCATCGTATAGTAAAGCGGTTTTCTGGCTTGTCCAGATTGAGTTGTTGATGTCGCAGACCGAATTCGTGCACTGGCTCATCAATTTCAAGGCCCCAAGAGCAGCGAGGTGTTAGTTTCCTTTTCACGTAAGATTGCCACATTTTAGAGGCGAAGCTCTTAAAGCGGCACCCGTTCGTCTCGTAGTCGTAGTTGTAGTGTGTAACAAGTGTTACATTTTGACCTGCAAGGTGGTGCCGGTGGGAGATTTCTCCTGTGCTTTGTTGCACAATGAAAAGTTCGCTACGTGCGCGTTAACTAAAAGCCGAATGCTCCTGTCTCTCATTCCCCATTAGCAGCCATTAGCATGTACATTGAGCGCTATCTGACAAGAAAGGGTTGCTACGTTATACTAGCTGGTGTGTAACCTCCTTGGTTTTAGAAAGGTTTAGCGAGCGTTGGGCCGCAGTGCCATGAATACAGTGAACTAGTATATACCATGAACTCGAGGTGGTTAAAGGTGGGAAGTAGACTTCCCAAGCCGTAACTTCCCAAAGTGCAAGCCGTAAGAAAGTGTGCATGTGCCACCTCTTGTTTAGCCCTTGAAATGTCCCCTGGATGACGGTGTTTCTATATGGGGAATATGTGATGAAAAGATGCGAGTTGGTGGTACTTGGAGTGTTGAATAGATGGACGAACGGACACACAGACAGATGCATGAATGAACGCATGAACGGACGCAGGGGCGGATGCATGGACGAACGCACGAACAGAGCACGTTCACCATAAGGGATTGATTTTCTGTTTGCCGACGCGCGGCGAACTCCACTCTGATGACGCGTCATGCAGTTCACGTCAGACGGGGGGAACCCGCGGCATCGGTGCGTTTAGCTTAAAGATTGCGCTTCCGTTCCACCATTGCAAAGATTGCTATCTCTCGTAGATTCACTTCTACTTTTTTACTTGCCGTTCTGTAACTGTTGAAGCTCCAAAACATTGCCGCTTTCAGCGACGTTGTCGACAACCGACGGGCTCGTACGTGAGTTGGGCCTAGACCGATGACTCGGTGACCGCCGTTGAACGCCGTGAGTTTGCTATCCTCCCTGTCCCGAGTGATAGCGGGGCTCTTTCTGAAGTTTACAGCGAACGAACGATCACCACACCCGCTTCACAAATTAGTGAGGCAAGGAACTTCTTTACTGCGGCAGGCAGTCGACAGCAAAATGGCTCATGTCCGTGCGCGTCACGATGAAGAAGCAGATGCCGGAAACGCCACTAGGCCTAGGTTTGGTCACGTGCCCCAAGCAGCTAATAGAATCGCGCGGTGGTGCTTCTCGATGACGCATTTTGCTGAAAAACCAATGAGAAATGCAAGCCACTGGTGGCGGAAAATTGAAGGTGAAGAATGACCCTTCCAAACGAGACCAAGATACAGTGTACTATAAGGGGGCAGTGGAGTGAACGAGGCGGCCGCGCCGTATCCAGGCTGATTCTCCGATGGGTGACAGTAGCGGTGGCGCTGTAGTTCCATGGTACTGAAGATCTCAGGAGCGCCTGCATTGAGTGCGCGTGCGCCCGAGCCTGCGAAAGCGTGTAATTGCTCGTTTTTAGCGCATTTAATGTGTTTCTGAGCCTTTATCAGAGGACGCACCTGCTACGTGCCATGGTGCACGAGTGGATATGCAGGCACGCCGAAATTGCGTCGATATATCTGTTTCAAGAGCCTGCCGTCCCAGAAAAATAAAGAGCGTCGATGGGAGTTCGGACGAATCCGCCTAGCTTCTTACTCGATTAGCGCTTTGAGTTGCGTTACATTATAAGTGGCTACTGGCGAACTACAAAGAGAGGAGAAGTATCAAAACCGTGATTAAATCACACGCTCGCTTTGTCGGCAGTCTTTACGATATCCAGAGCACAGTGTTCCTCATATGAGCCTGCATGCGCTCGATCGTTTCACGAGAAACCCGAGTATAAGTAACGTCACACAATTAATCAGTGACGACTCTTTTTCATACCAGTTTTGTGGAAGATAATATTTATTGCTTTCCGAAGGGCTTATTACAAACTAAACTTATTAAAACAACTCACAAACTTATTAAAAAGTGCCGATTGTATAAATAGCCCGTCTGTTAATCTGCGTAAATTCATTGTAACCAGTTCTCATTTTTTATTGAAATCTTGAATTGTGCTTCTTTCGAAATATTCTATTGGCGTAACGACATTGCAAGCGAGCAAATTTATGACGATGTTTTGTATTATAAGCGTACTTCTATTATTAAGTGTCAACAGTGTAGGCAGGCAGTGGTGCATCTTGTTTTGAGAAATTTACCTTCCTTATATATGTACACAGATGCACACACACACGCACGCACGTGCACACACACAGCCTTGCAATGCCCCCTTAGCACTGCTGCTATTTTTAGGCGGTGCATTTCTCGTCTGACTCCGTTAGTCTTGAACTAGTTTTGAGACGTCATACTGTCGAAAAGGGGAAATCTACAGTGCGCTTTTGTAGTTTGTAGAGATACGCTATATTCAGCTTCGCCAACTGTAAACTATTGGCGCAAGGCTACCCAGGATTTCTTTTTTTTTTTTTCTTTGGGGGGGGGTGGGGTGTGCAGCAGAACGCCTAACTTTGGCAAGTGGTGGTGGCTGCGAAGGCATGTAAATATTTTAGTATACCCTGAAAAGGTAAATTATGAAAACATTTTGTGGTGTAGGGGTTTCAGATTTCCTTCCTCTCCACTTTTTACTTATGGCTTTCTGGTTCTGCGTGCGTGTGATGCAGTATTTGTTTTTTGATCTCACAGCTTTCTGAGCACAGCTAATTTTCAATAAATCGATTAGTTATTCTGAATATTGTAGACTCCTAACCAACGAAGAAAGAGTTAAGAGAGAAGAAATCAGTATAAGACACACCCTTTCTGAATTATTATCGATCTTTCACAAGGGCTTTTACGGAGCTCAAATTCAGTAGATTGGCGTGTCATACTTCAAGGGCTATGGCATCATGTGCTAGACATGAATGATGGGCAGGTACGAAGAAATCTGCACCAAGAAAGCGCGATGGAGGAGCCGAAGCGCATAGCAGTTCTTGCAAAGCGGGGCGCGGCTCTTTCAGTACTATTCGACTGCAGCGCCGCCGCTGCGGGCAACGCGGAAGGGATCAGGCGGCGAGGCGCGGTCACGTCATTCAACACTTCTAGTACACTCTAACCAAGATGACCACGATAACTCGTGTGTAATGGCAACGGTTCGGAAGGCACTGCGCCGTGCTCCCGATCCGCCTGCAGAAATTGCGTGCCTTTCTCCTCTTCTAACCATTACCACCACGGCATGGAAAAAGAGCGACTTTAGCAATGATATGTGCTCAGATTCATCTCACAGCGGTGTTATAAATTGATTTTGTGCAAGAAATAATGACACGAGAAGCTTGAAACTTCTCAGATAAGTGCAAAAATAGTTGCAGATTCGGAAAATGTCAACTTCAAAAAGTCGGTTTTTTCGCGATTTTCGGCCTTTTAAGACCCGTGTCCCCCTTAATGTTCCTTAAATGTGCATCTAAATCTGACAGCACAGGTGTTTTTGCATTCGCTTCTATCGAAGTGCACATGAGGTGGCTGAGAATTCAACTTGCACCCTTGTTCTTTGCAGTGCAATGTCCTAGCTACTGAGCCACTACAGTGGGTCTTGCACTCAAGGCTGCCTTTGGTTAGGGATAAAGTGATGGAAACATCCTGATGAGCTTATAGCTGTACCATTGTAAGGCACATAGTTTTAACGGAGGTCTGTGCCTCCTGTAAAAAAAAAAATTAACTCATTACCGATTCAACATTAAGTGGAGGAGGAGGATACCTGCAAGGTAGGGCAAAATGTTTTTCGAGAACTTCTTGGTTTACACATTATAACCGAGCATTCATGTTGAGCAAGTACATAGGACATCAAATACTGATAAACAATTGCTCACTTGACTGCTAACCAAAGACTTTGCATGAAATGTGTGCAAACAAATGAAAAATTAAGAAAGGGAAAAATAGGGAAACTCTTATTTGTAGTACGAAGCCACAAGAAAATATGTAGGGATTTCGGAGATTGTGATCACGTGACCATATTAATTTCCTTGTTGCTTAGTGCTACAAATGGGTGTATTTTCCCTTTCTTAACCCTTGGCCGCCTTGTGGGATTCCGCAGAACTCAATAAGATAGTATGAGTTCACTCAACTGACTTTTACCACATTGCTGTTTGTCTGTCGTAGTCGACTCTGGGGCTGTGGAGCCTGCAGTGTCTGCCCAGGTGGAACCTCCTCAACCTGTCCCCAGTACACCAGGCAAGACACAAGTCAGTGAAATCACATCAGAGCTGGCTACTGACCCCATGCCCAGTCGTACTCCCATGGATGCTTCCTTAGTGCTGGAGAGTGCATTGGCCAGCATGGTTTCAGCTGGCAGCAATGAAATGTTGGCAAGTGGCAGCAGCCTGCTGCCAAGGGGAGAGGATGGCCAACCAGTGCCAGCCCAGGAGCGACACATTTTCATCTGTGGACAGTGCAGCCATGGCTTTGGTTCCCTGGATGAATGCAAGCAGCATATGGTTGAGGTGTGTATTGCCCCATTGTCTGCACATCTTTTGTATAATAACACGAGAAAATTTTAAAAAATTTTTGTTTTTCTATACGAAGTCAACAATGAGGTAGACGAGGATAGCAAAGACACGGAGAAGAACTTATTACCCAATGAAAGTTCAACTGGAAAGCTGTGACAAATATATACTGACAGATAAAAATTTCGTAGGCACATATGTTAAGAGCACACCACAAATCAAACACATCAAAACCGATAAAAATTACATGTCTGCCCCACCTTACCAAAGCCCACTTTGCCTTTCAGCAATTCCTTAATGCCTATAGCATCTGCCTCTGTCCAAAAATGTAAGCTCCTTATTGGACAGAGCTTTTGTTGGTTTACTCATGCAAATCGAGTTGTCACGCACTATGTTTGCAGCCTCAATAATTATTCTTGTATGGTTGCCGTTGCGAACGTTGAATGCATGCTCCCACAATCTGTCGTTTAGGCATCTTCCAATTTGTCCAATATAACAGGTGCTACATGAAAGTGGTATTCTGTAAATAATGTTGCTGATACAATTCACAAAACGAGTTCTGTGCTTTGTTTCACACAGTTGTTTCTTGTGTCTAGCCGCACATGTCAACTTAGCTGAGAAAGGTTGTGTGGCGCAGAGGAAACTACTCGTGTATGCTTAGTAATTTTTATTTGTCAGTATATAGCTGTCACAGCTTTCCGAATAAAGTTTCAGTTGTTAGTAAGCGCTTGTCCATGTCCTAGCTGTCCTTGTCTACCTTATGTTCTTGTATTTCAAGCAATTATAAATTGCCAACTCAGCCATTTTGATGTTGATGGATTGCACTTGGTATTGATGAGATTTGCCTATGGCACTACAAAACTGAATCTTTTATGCATGTGCCTAAGATGACTCAAAGGCGAGAACTGTTTTCTTTTTCTTCTCAGTTGATGTATTGAACCTAAAGGTTTCTGCACTTTGTATGTTTTTGTGTTGAGTCTAGGATCAGGGCATTGCAAGCTTTGTGCACCTTATCTGCATTGCTTCTGTGATCAGGCCACCTTCAACTGAACGATGGCATGTGATGATGTCATGTGATGTTATGATGGCACTACTAATTTTGGTGATCTGTGAAGTCATGTTAATGTCATGACACTATTATAATTTTTTGCATCACTTATGCCAACACTGATGCTGAGGGATGTTAATGGTCAATTTTCACATTTGATGAGGCATCTTACTTTCCTCTTAAGAAGTTACCTGATTTCTTTGCACAAGCGGTAGGTGTTATTGCAGTTGGCTGCAAAGCACGTCCAGTTTTGATTGTAACATTGCCTTGCTCTCATTTTTATGCTCACTAAATACAGATTCTCTTGCCACATAATAACTACACAGGGTAAGGTAGGGGAGCCATCTGCTTAGCTTTTGTGAAAATGACCAAGGTAGAATAGATCTTATGAAAGAGGAGAGCACTAATTGCACTCTGAAAGTGTTGGAGCTGGCTTTGGTCGCACAGTTGCAATATGCTCCTTCGTGTGACTGTCATCACTGTTACAGCCACATCGCCTCTTGCTTCTCCTTATCACAGTACACTGTACTCATTCCTTCCCCTTGCTTTTTGCCAAATAAGGCATTAAAACCTTGTAATTCGAAGACACTGGGACCATGAGAAATCTTCAAATTAAGTGGGTTTTTTAATTAACAAAACATACAAAATGTGGAATGCAAGCAACTTGAAATTGTTCAAATTAATCAGGGTTGGTCGTTTGCTGTGCCGGCTAGTATGTGGCTCCAAGGTTTATGTTTTCCAGTAATACCTGGTCACATCTTTGCCGCAAACAAGGGGGAATTCCGGGCCCAACTGCTGTTTCCGCAAAAAAAAAAACGTGGTCAACTGAAATGCGCGCTTGCGAAAAAGTACAAGTTCACTGCAACACAGTCGTGACACGCAGGCAGCATGTCGCCTGCTCTTTGCTGCGTTAGCACGTCATTTTGCGACCATTCGCTCATTATTTATCGTAAAATAAAGAATTTAATAATGGACAGTGTGACGAAATTCGCTATGTATTTTGACTGGAAAACATCACCATTGAAGCTTTGACACGAGTTTTCGAAGTAGGCATTGCAGGCAAGAACTCTGCCAGCTGTGCAAATGCGCAAATTACTGCCCGCACATCACTGCTGCATTGCAGTGAAGCACGTTTTGTTTCCAACAGGTGCATTTTTTAGTTGATCATGAGATTATTATATATATATATATAATTTTATTTTTGTGCTGCACGAAGCAAGGCAGGGGCGCCTCAGCTACTACTCATTAGTGTCGTTAAAGGACATTGCGTAGTGGCTCCTAAGGGCTGTCGTTTCTGCGAGTTTGGGGCGAAATCGGAATCGGGAACTGGGACACTGCACCCAAAGTTTTTGAATTAACCGTTAACCGGACTTGTGCTGACCACCGTGTCTAATTATCTGCTCAAACTTACATTACAAAATACAGGACCGTAGAAATACTTGGAATTAAGTGAGATTTTTAAATAACCGAGTTCTAATTAACGAGGTTTTACTGTATGAGCAAATGAATAACAGCTGTGGTCGGTATGATGCAATTCCTCTACTTCATGGGAGAAAGTATACCACAAGTATTTATGCTCCATCATGGAGGTCATACTTAAACCTCTGTAGATTGCCTTCTGATGGCTTACATTACATGGTTAGCAAAGAGTGAAAAATGTTGGCAAGCAAGCTAGTAGAGCCGGAGGCTCTTCTCATGCCATACTTTGCATTAACTTCTTGATAAGTTGCATCAGCAGGCATCAGAAGAAGCCTAAAAGACTCTGCATTAGTTATGTTGGCCGTTGCAACCTAAATATTAGGGGTGTGTGAATATTCGAAATTGTGAATATATTTCAAGTAGTGTTTACTATTCGATTTGATTCATGCTGGAATTTTGACTATTCTGACTATTAGAACTTTCTGAACACAAATACAGTCAATGTCCAATAGACCTCTACTGGAGTGCATCACAACGTGACGTCACCGGCGCACGTAAAGCAGCGGTTGGCAAAAGACCTCTGCTGGTGGCTGAGTGTGGTGCAGGAGCGCGGTGCTTGGGGCAAGTTTTTTTTTCTTTTTCAAAACTCAAACATATCTTAACGTGGCAACATTGTGCCAATAATGGCAACTATCTTACAGTGGCAACATTAGCGATGGAATGTGTCAGAGAACATCTATGTGTGTGGCATGATATACTGCGTGATGAAAACTTTGCCACTCTGGCTGGCTGACCTGTTCATCTTGGAGAAGTTAACACACGTGGCAGCCTGTGCAAGGATCAACTTTGAAAATGGGCAGTGTTGATTATGGCGTATAGTGTGCGTTGAAAGGCATCGACAATATTGGTTCACCTTTACGGATGGTGAAACGAGGAATATTGTACTTGGTGTGTGGAGTGTCAATAATGATGCATCTTGTTTGCGAAAACATTGGCACTCGTTGTGGGCCAGTTGCAAGAACGGGTTGTCTATGAAACTTCATGATTCGACATTTTAGTCAAGGTCATGCATTTGGCGTATTCATCTGCAAGTGAGTACATCTCAGGGTTTTCACGGCTTGCAGAAAAAAAGAAAGTGCATCATCTCCAGGTTTAAAAATATGACTATTTATGAGCTATATGCTTCCCCAACCTCAACCAGGGGTACCCACTCCCGTCTTCTGCCTGTGCTGTCTCAGCACGTTCACGCGCTCTTCACGCGCTGTTGTCTAGTCGCCCTGAACGTGCAGCATCACCTCTTACTTGCTCCCATGAATTAAAAAGATTGTAAAAACATTTTCACGGTGTGAATCTTATCAGAACCGAGAGTGATTCATTGTGACAACCTTTGCGGGACCAAGCAAGTTAAATTGATGTCTTTGAGCAAGTGCTATGTGCATGTTGATGGTGAACAGCCGCCTTTCTATGACATTAAAACTGAAGTGACGGCATGAGTTCTATATGTATGTTACCGGTAAAACGCGCTGCAGCATTCATGTCTTCTCGGAGCTGTTGGCAAACCACCACCACCACGCTTTTGCGCGCACTTGTATATAGTGTTGGAAGTTCGATTGCTTGAATGCCAAGTTTGTCACGCGGCTCTAAGTTTATGAGGAGGTCAGTGTGAAGAGACTAAAGTTACGTCTGCTATGTTGAGTGCCTGGCACCATTTCAATGTGGAGTGTTCAGTTTCATAAGAGTTTCACTTTTGCCGAGGTTTTGATCGGTTGTTAACAAGGTCGTATCTTAAGTTCAATGACACTTTGGATTTTTTCGCAGCTATAAAGATGCGCACAAAAAAAAAAGGTATTTTATTTCCACTTCGACCATGCATGTTTTTTACAGTGCATGTTTCATTTCGGATAACATCCACACCTGATCACCCAGCATGTTCACTGATTCGAATGTCGATTTGGTTGTTTTGACAGCTTGTTTGGTCTTTGTCATATTATACAATATTCACTAGAATCGAGCACATTTTTAGTTACGCCAAGATTTGCCCCTGATAACCACGTCAAATTTCGTGAAACCATCGAAAATTTTATATCTGCCTTGGTTATTTTTTCAACTCGTTTTCAAAGCGGCAGCTGTATATCCCGTGTGGCTCGAGCGCATGCAAGATTATAATAATTTACGTGCCAAAACCATCATATCATTAGGAGGCATGCCATGGTGCGAGACTGCAGATTGATTCTGGCCACCTGAGCTTTTTTCTTAAACGTGCACCTCAATCTATTTGAAGTGTAAGGCGCGACGACAACGGAGAGAGGTTAGACACACACCACGCATCACTTATGTTTAGATTGAGTGTCATACCACCATACATGTGAAATATGCAGCACCCTTATTGCACCAAAATCTGAGCGCATTGTTACTGCGTTTTGCTCCCGTAGAAATGCAGCTGGCGTATGCGGGAATCAAACTGATGGCTTCGATCCTAGCATCGCAACACCTCATCATGTTAACTTATCGGTGAGTGTTGCTTGCAAGA